TTAGTATGGCCCAAAATTTTGCTTTTAAGCCAAAATATTAGGGATTGGCAATCAAAATAATGTTATATGGATAAGGAAATCTTTATTTGTGGTGTGGCGACCTTGTCGTGGCATCGGACGAAGGGAGTCTAGGCCTGACGGGATTTCCCCACCTCCCAAGCAAATTTGGAATGATGACGTCAACACACCGAATTCCAAGACTACGACAATCAAAATTAAGGGAAATGTTTACCTAATTAAATTTAATCTTTCTACACTACATTTTTCTTCATCATCATTAGTATACTATATGTTGTTACTCTATTATATTATTAATATGCGTTTTAAAAAAATTATAGTTTATAATTCACATTAATATTAGCGTTAGTACTGTTATTCATTAGTTAGTACTGTTATACTGATGTCATTATTATTATTATCATCATCATATTCCTTATTGTCATCCCCATCCTCATTATATTCCCCATTATAAGGAGGATGTTGATGATGATGAGAAGAAAGATGATGGTGAGGAAGAACATGATGGTGATTACGATTGATGATAATGGCTGTTGATGATAATGATTGTGATGATGGTGATGAGAATGATAGAAAATGATTGATGAGAATGATGATGATGAATGATGAGAATCATCCCTCTCATCCTCACCCTTGTCCTTATCTTCATTCTTGTAATCCTCATCTTCATCATCCTCATTATGATGGTAGTGACTGATGATGAAGAGGATAATGATGAAAATGATAATGGTAATGATGACGATGATGATGATGATAATAATGAGGATGATGGTAATGATGATTATGATTATGGTGATGAAGAATGAGGATGAGGATGATGAGGAGAAGGAAGATGATGAGGTAGATGATTATTGATGATGGATGATGATGAGGAAAAAAATGATGCTGATAAGGATGGTGAGGATAATGATGATAATAAGGAGAAGGATTAGGATGATGAGTTTGATGATGATGAAAATAAGGATGATGATGATTATGATTGATGATAATGGTCGTTGATGAGGTGATCGTGATAATGATGAGGATGATTGATGAGAATGATGTTGATGAGATTAATGATGACGAATGGTGAGAAACATCCCGTCTGCCCCTCATCCTCATCTTCATTCTTGTCGTCCTCACCCTCTTCAGTATCATCCTCATGATGAGGATAATGATTGATAATGGTGATTAATAAGGATGATGATGATGTGGTTGATGAGGACAAGGATGATGATGGATGATGATAAATGATGATTGTAATGAGGACGATGATGAGGATAATAATGACAATGATGATGATAATGAGGACTACGATGATGAATGAGTGATGATAAGGAGGATAAGGATGAGGTTGATGATGATGAGAATAAGGATGATGATGGATGAGGATGATTAGTAGGATGAAGGTGATGGTGATGATGTTAACAATGATTGGTGAGGATGGTGATGAGGGTGACGATGATGATGAGGGTGACGATGATGGATGAGGATCAATGCCATGGCCAGGATTTTCAAAAAAAAAAAAAATCAGAGCGGACCCACTTTAGGTGTAAATTCAAACAATGTGGACCCATTTTACGGAAAAATATGAAATATCTGGACCGATTTTCTTAAATTTTACCCATATTTAACTAAGTATAAGGTATCTGGATCCATTTTATGCATAAAATTACATAATTTGGACCCTTTTTTAAAATGCACACCATTTTTTTGTGGACCCATTGGAAAAATGGTGTGGGACTGTCCCAACTGTGCCAATAGCTGGCTATGCCATTGATGATGATGAGGATGATGGATGTGGAAGAATATGATGATGAGGATGATGATGAAGAAAATGATGAAGAATGAGGAGGATGAAGATTATGAGGATGATGATAACGACGATAGATGATTGATAAGGACGTGATGAAGATGAGGACGATGACGATGGATGAGTATGATGTGATGATGATGATGGTGATGATTACAATGATTGATGATAGTAAGGATGATTATAATGATTAGACAACAATGAGAATGATGATGACGATGACGAATAGGATGAGGATGATGATGACGATGATGATGATGATGACGGATGATGATAATACTGTAATGATATCAATAGTGGTAATAAAAATATAGATAATATTATTATATTACAGTACTAACAATGTAATTCATTGTAATATTAAAATATAATTTTGAAATAACAGAAATACAATACAGTAATATATACATAATATTATTAATGATTTCAACAATAATAAATAAGCATAATACTACTATTAAAATAATAATATTTATATATATTTTATATGTGATTGCTTTGATGA